TTTTAAACCGCTATCACTGGCACGTACACTTTTTCTTATATGAGGTCATTTAAACGGATCAAGAATCCAGTCCATTTATCTCAGGTTTGAAAAACAATGTTATGAAGAGTTTGGCATGCACAGACTACAAGATTGTTCATCGAAAGTATACTTGTACTCGCCCACTAGTCCTCTGTAGCCTTTTTAGTCTTAGTTTGATATTGTTTGCAGCAAATGCACAAGTAAATACACTAGTCTTCTACTCTGAGTCAGATTACGATGGCATTGATAGTCCATCCCAGAAATGATAATGTCCCGATGGTACTTCTTTTTGAGCTTGCGGTGCCTTGAACCACCGAAGCATTTTCTCCATTTGCAATGAACTGGTTAAAGTTAATTTGAGGGACATTTTCCAGAAACACGGTTAAAAATAGGAAAGAATTTCTTCAAATGTTGTTACTTGCACGTGATCATGCCTACAATTCTATAAGTTTATCCGATATACTTTTGCACATGAAAGTTGTCTGGCACAGGAGAATAGTATCGTATACATTATGACAAGGTATGGTATTAGAAAACTAAATTAAGCACTGAGAGAACGAATGTGGCATAATTCCTGCTTGTAAGCGTTTCTTTAAGCTATCACACCCATATAATAAAAAATAACACAACTTGTTGCGTGATTTTAAAACCGGTTTAATACGACGTATATTAACCCTTGCCAGTTACTACTAAAACTGACCAAGAACCTAACATGGTTACCTCGAATTCAAAATGTGAAGTGATAAATATTTTTATCTTTTATTTCCAGTTTGAGCTTTGATTGATACCCTTAATAGCGACTACAAAATCAAATGATTTGTCTTGTTACAGTCAAACAGACACAACAATGTCCATTCGTTGATATATATACTAAAAATCTCTTTTTTACAAAATTTCCAGGAGTATATTCAATCTACGAAAAAGCTCAGATTATCCGCCAGAATCTCCAGCTCCCCCTTTTTCCGCGAAAGAATGTCAGATTGCCCGTAACCACCTCGGTTTTCGACCGCGTCAGTACAAGTTCTGCACAGATCCGAAACTGGGCTATGCCATGCTGTCAGTTCTGAGGGCCGCCAGGGCCGTGGGCTTTCACTGTCCGGAGGCCTTCAGCGACAGACGTTGGAACTGCTCCTCCATCACCAAACTTCCCTGGGTTTCGCCTGAACTGAAGCTCGGTGAGTTGCGCATTCAGACTGAAGCCTAGATCGGTCGACAATAAGCTAGCTTGCAACCATCGAGAAAAAAGGTTTTTACAGTCCGTAGTCTGGGTAAACAGCCAAATTTGCTGCCAAAGCAGTCTGATAATCGTGTTATATCCATCTTCGAAATTAAATTGTTTTGCCACCCTACCAACGCAAAAGTCGATAACCTGTGTTACAGGTACTCTCAATTACTAATCATACAGAGCTAGGACTTTGGATCATTACTTTATAGAAGTTGACCACGTTACTATGCAAAGTTAATATAAATTTCCTGGTTGCTATTTACCAGTTGTATCATAAAGACTTCAGTTCAGTTCAGTGTATTTCGGGGGAGATGGTTGATGCCGTCATCTTCCCCATTGATCACATACAAATCACAGGAATTAGTAGCAATTTAAAGCAATTAAAGTGGCCAGTAGAAAGAAGGTAGCTTCAAGCAAATGCATATAGGTTTTTAGAAGGTATATAGACACATAGTCCGCTTGTTGCTGAAATGGCAATTTATACCTTCCTCCTGAGATAAACGTGGCCTCGGGCGAGTTATTTGAAAGTTTCAAAGTATGAGTTGAGAAGTAATAATTTATCGCATGCAATCCCACGGGATGTCCCCGGAGATTGGGTACAATGACGAGCTGCAAGAAATACCCCAAACAAGAATGCACAGTCCAAATTGCACAAGTTATGGAAGCTTTGTATCAGATCTCTGCGCATTTACCTATAACTCAGAGGTTAAGGATTCATGTTAACTAGGCAGTTCGCATATAGGTGTGATTCCTGACCATTGAACGCTCTTGAGTGGATCGTAATTCCCCTACGTCTCCAGGTCTGGATCGCGTAGTTAAGATGCGGCTTCACAAGGGTTCAGAAAACTTTGGCGAAATAATCTTAATCTAAAATGCTAAATCTCCGATTGATGGCGCTTGTGATTGATATCGCGTTTTCCCTCCGCTTTACAGTAGTTCGCACATCAGAGTTAGGCGATAATGCTAACGCCATCTCACGCTTTCTGTCATTTGTGCCTATTACTGCGGCTTCCGTGGGGGTCACAAGTTCTGGCGTTTTACGGTCCCGACCGTAGGACAAAATCGCCTTTCTCGCTACCAAACTTACGGGGTCTGATTATAGTTGCCCACATAATACCTACTTCCTAGATACCTAATTTGACGCACAGCTTCTAGGAGATGCTTTTTTTAGAAAAAAGAAGCATAACAAGTGCTGCGCTCTCTCTTCTTTGCATAAAACCCCGTTCGAGGATAAGAAATACACTAGGCTTGA